CGGGCTTATAACTGTTTCGCCTTTTATATTTAATTAATAAGATTTAGATAAATTTATCTAAATCAATGTAAATCGCAAAATTTTCTTATTAACTCGAAATCAACACGAAACCAACCCGAAATTTTCGGGTCGATCTCGGGTTTGCCTTAAGCCGCCTGTTTGGAGCTTTAAGCATCATCATTTGTAACATTTGGATTTAAATTATTATCTTATTTGATATTATTTTATCTTTTCCGTATTCAATACTGTTACTACTTGTATAATGTCATTGTTATCATTTGAGTTAAAGTTATTTTTACATTTTTTAAAAATCTTTTTTTGTGACTGATAGGGAAATTAATTTATCAATATATTATTGTTGATGTTTTTATCTCGCTATAATTGGTATAACCGCTCCCTAGTAAACCAAAACGATATTTCGATAAACAATACCAATCTCTCTCTATTGATGATCCGTAATAGTAAGATCTTCACTACACAATTCCTCGCTAACAAAATAGGTAGGTTTATTATATATTATTGTCATGTGGATACAAAGTTATTTATATTAATATGTTCTAAAGGTTCTGGGAACTCTCTTAATATGGAGTACATGTTATCTAAACAAATTACATCTATTACTATTGTTCTTTATTTGCGACAAGTTTTTAAGATAACGTTAATGTTAAACATCAACATTGCTTACAAAATGGAGATTGGTGAGTTTGTGTAAGTTGAGAATCGAACTACAACACTCCACATTTCAAGGTCGTTTAATAGTTTAAGATGGTCAACAACATCCAACGCAGTCAAACGATGGAAGAGAACTATTTATAAAATTTATACTTAAGGCAAGTATCAAGCGAAACTAGTTTCTCGAATATTCCCCATCGTTTTATTCTCTGATCGGAAGGAGACACTAAAAGCCTGTCAGATCCTCCATCCTAAATGTTAGACAAATTCCGGCTATACTTACTCTCAACTTGGGGAGAATTTCCCAAATACTTTAAAAAACATATTGAAATTTTATTTTTGTTTCGCCATATTCAAATTCTTGACAAGGTTTGTAAAGATCTGCTCGAGAATTTTACAACTTCGATTTCAGTTGTTTTTAAAAGTGCTACTTTCCTACAAGACATTGTACTTGCTACATTACTCCAAATTCAATTTCCTTTGTGTAAGAAAAGTAGTTATTTTTTTTATAAACCAATAAATAGTTATTTTGAATTGCTAAAAAAAGGTGTGTAGAAGTTTGATGTTAATTTTATTCAATTCAATTTTACCTAAGAGGACAAAAATGTATTTGTGACATTAGAAATTTCTTTATTAGAAAAATAATAATATACAAGCAAATATCTACAAGTTGAAAAAATTATAAATTAAATAAATAAATATTTAAAGAAAAAAGTTAATATTTAAAAAAGAAAAAAAAGTTTATATTTAAAGAAAAAAAGTTTATATTTAAAGAAAAATGCTCTATAAATAAAAATATTGAATGACTGACATTTTACAATATGAATAAATTAAAATATACGTGCGTGTATATCAAACATAGAAATAAAATAAATAATCTAAAATAACCAATGTAAAATCTAAAACTTCAAATTATCGTTTACATGAATATAATACAAAACAATCTATTTGAGTGTGTGGTATGGTGTGGTGTGTATGTGTAATATATTTTAATTAATTAAATTATATCATTTTTTTCTTATTTCTGCCATTTCTACCATTTCTACCACGAGTAACAACTTTCCACTCTTCCTCATTATTAATATTAGTTGAATTGTTGGCGAGTACAATTGTTGTCGTGGATGATGAATAATAATTTTTTTCGTTATTTTTATCGATTTTTGTTGGTTCATTATCATTATCATTTATTGAAAAAATAAAATCATTATCGTTGTTTTTATCATCGTTGATGATGTTGATTTGATTGTCGTTGTTACTATTATTAAATGATTCTTTAAATTGTTCTCGATCATAAAATTTAACTTTATTATTATCCTCTATAGGAGATGAAGGAGGCGATGATGATGATGGCGATGATGATGATGACGATGATGATGATAATGATAATGATGATGATGATGATGATGATGATAATTCCATTTCTTCTGGTTCTTCATCTTCCTCATCAAAATAAACACTCTCATCTTCATCTGATGATGTTTCTTCTTCTTCAACTACAACAAAGCCCTTTTGAAGTTCACGTTCATTCCATTTTAAACATCTTGATATTGAGGTAAACCAATCTTGTGATTGAGATTTTAAACATACGGTAGGGAATGGAAATTTTGATGGTGTAACTTTTATGTAATCTCCTTCTATAAATAGATATTTGGTTATTTATTTATTTGTGTTAATAATTTTACAATTATATTAAATAACACACACACACACACACATATAACTTACGCTTTAACTCAACTCTATTTCTACCATCAAAACTAGCCCAAGAAGTATTACGACTATTGAACGGAACGTATATCTTTAATTCCATTGAATCGGGCAATAACATTGGTCGAAAAGATAATGTATGTGGACAAATAGGTGTCATTAATAAAGCAGAAATTTCAGGATGCACCAAGGATCCACCAGCTGAAACGGAATAAGCAGTAGACCCTGTAGGTGTTGAAATAACCAAGCCATCAGCTTGTACAGTTGTCAAATGTTCATCATCACCTAATAATAATAATAAACAAGAAGATGTAACATAAAAGTTATATTACTTGTAACATTAATCAAGCTTTACTAATAATCTAAAAATAAAATAAAAATGATGATGATGTTAATTTATTTACCAAATAATTCTAATAAACTCATATAAGGACCAGCACCACGATCTACAACCAAATCGTTTAAAATTTCAAAGGTTTCAGATGGTTGAAATGTTAAAGAATGTTCATGAATACTTTTCTCGTTGTCATTATTATTATTATTACTGTTATCAATCTTTTTGTTTTTTCTTTTGCTTTTGTTATTTATTACATTTCTGTAAACTGTACAAGTGAATCTCATACGTAAGTTTACACGTATTCCTTTTTCCATAACATTTGTTAAATGGTTTTTATAATCTTGAAAATCGAAATTTGTTAAGAATCCTAAAGATCCCAAATGAAATGGTAAAACGGGAGGAACAACTTTTTGGAATAACCAAGATGTATACAACACTGTGCCATCACCACCTAACTGTTTATTAATAAACAAATTTGAAATGAATGGAATGAATGAATTAGTATGTTAATATCAATTCATCAATTAATTCATCAATTAATAATGTTAAAATAAAATTACCGTCAATACAAAGTTAAAAATTTCAGGCCTAGTAGCACATAATTCATTTGTCCAAAATTTCAAATAATCTTTGGCCAAATGAGAAGTTTTTAGCATTTCCTCGAAATCAAATTTTTTCATATCTTTTAAAGATTTATCAACATATACTGTGACACCATGGTCTTTACCAAATCTTGGAGTAGAAATTAAATGCATTGCTAATTCACGTGTCAAGCCAATTAGTTTATCATCACCTGGTTTTGTTACAATCATTACTGTCTTCATTGGACTTTGAATACGTGCTTGACCTAATAATTAAAATAATTAATTAATTAATTTAGATGAATAAATTTAAATTAACTATTAAAAATAAAATTTATTATTACCTAATCTTTTAGCGATTTCTCTTACGCCAACAGCAGTTTCAGCCAATTCAGAATAATCAGTTGGTTCGTTATTATCACACCTAGTAATAATTTCAGATAAAGGTGTGGAAAGTAACGAATCATTTAAATAAGAATGAACAAAACAAGGAGATTTTGGTGTTATCGAAGGAGTTGGTAATTTAGTTGATGGAATTTTCAATAAGTTTTTATTAAACTTAGGTGGAGATTTATTTTTTGTAAAAGATGGCGGAAAAAATTTATTATGTTCAATATCAATATTATTAACATTGGAATCAACGTCAGCATTTGTGTTAGCATTAGTCATTTTAATACTATCCACAATTGTTGTTGTCGTTGTAATAACGAGATTATCATTATTATTCCCAATGCTGGTGATTTTATTATTAATGCTGTCCTTGTTGTTGCTCTTGCTTTTTTGACTTCCTTTATATTGAAGAGAATTTTTTTTCCCTTTATGTGAAACCGAATTATTATTATTGCTATTTTTAGTTGAACCCTTCATTTTTAAAGAAAGTTAAAAATAATTATTATATTGATATTGATATATTTACGAGGAAAAAATTTGGGTTTGTCAACCAGTGACTTTTTTTTTAAAAAAAAAAAAATATATATATGAATTTAATTAAAGAATGTATACGATTTATATTTATGTAATTTTTTTTCTTTCAAAAATTTTTTTTCAATAAACGTGGATAACTTGTTATACACGCGTTTGAAAATAAAAATAAAATGATTCATTCATTTAAATAATGAAGGATCGACAGACTAGCTAAAATAGTTATAAATATGTTTGATTTCAATGATTGCGTTTTATTTATTTAATTTATTTTCCAAATCAGGCTTATCCTAATTCCGGAATTCCCTTATTGTTATTTGATGATCAACGCTGATATGGATAACAACAACAAATTTTATGATAGACCAATTTTGGTATCCGAAAAATAAATACTTCGAAAATCAAAATAATAGATGATCAAAATAATAGATGATCAAAATATAGATGATCAAAATTTCATTAATTAGTCAATCTTTGTAGGCATTATTGTTTCGATTTTTTTTATTTATTGCATTGATATTCAAGGCCTATTTAGTATTTATATATATAAAACTTACTATTGAAAATTCAAACATCAGAACTGTACTCAGAATGATTAATAACAGCTTGCAGAGTGACAAAGAAAAATGATCTCTGTTTTGCATAAATCTGACACTTAAGCTTAATTAATAATATGTTGTATCGATTAAAAACAATTGATAAATTTCATTTTGAATACAAAAAACATTTATTAATAATATTGTTATTATCTGAATCTATTAAAGAGTAATCTTTAAGTGTATTTATAAATCATCATCATCATCCATAGTAATTTCATCAGGATTCGCAAGTTGTTTAGAAATGGATTCATCATCTTCTAAAGTTGTCGAAGATCTACACAATAATAGTAATGTAAGCAAACATTTATTTATTTATGATTATTATGATAGTGTTAAAATACATACGAAACAAAAGCAACGGCTCTTGTAAAATTGCTTTCAAGAAGAGCTTCTTTTTCTGCTAATTTCATTGGGTCAAGTGTAGTAGTAGAATGATCATCTGCTTCTGTGTTGGATGGTTTATCTTTTGTGTTTTGATGAGCTTGACGAGTAGCAAGAATTTGAGCCGATATAAAGTTAACCTAGAATAATGATGTGTGAGAATATTTTATATATTTATATTTATATTTATGTGTATGTACACACACACGTTTCTCTCACATACTTCTGTATTATATTGAGCTTGTACACTACGTTTAATCCTCAACATTTCTTTGAATGTATCTTCATTTCCATGCTTAACCTCAAAATCATGCCAAAGTTGCCAAAATGATGGCACTGTCTAAAAATTATTATTTATTGTAAGAATTATGCACACATATAATATCAATATCAAATAAATATATATTGCAATAATTACTCTAGGATCACAAAATTGTGATGCATGAGCATATATAGCTCTTGCTCTATCAATTTCTCCCAATTTACATTCAACCTCTGCATATTTCAAACACATATCTTTTGCTTCCCTATCAGGTAATACTTCAATGGCACGTTCATACAATTCTCGCGTATAAGTAATACCAAAGTTTGAACTTGCTTTGGCAATATAAAAATTGAAGACCTATAAATGAACGAACAAATAAATAAAATGAATAAATAAATATAATATGAATAAATATGAAATTAACGAATATCAATATAATGTAAGTGAATTAATAAAACAATATACCTCAAAACGATCTTCATCAGCAACTGCATTTGTTGCTCGATCATAAATTCGCATTGCATGTCTTGCCAATCCATAGTCCTCCTCTAATTTACCATACATAAGATATAATGTTTTTGCATGTTTTGGTGGACATTTCTCAAGAGCCTGTTCAAATAAATCTCTTGCTCGCTCTAATTTGGAACCTTTCTATATATGTGTGTGCGTATATTATAAGTGAGCGAGTATGAGTAAATTCGTGAAAATATTCATTAAAGAAAATACTTACATATCGGGCAACAAATTTGGTCAAATATAAATTCCAAATCTCAAATGCAATCGGATAATTGAATAATTCAATACCACGTTCATATATCTTTTAATTATTAAATGATTGTAAAATTTATTAAATTATTAAATATAATGAAATTATATAATATATTTATTAACCCACTTTATAACTTTCTTCAAAATAATTGTTCTCTTCCAAAAAAGCTGCATAATTGATTACAATTTGTGGTGTCGCGATCTTCAATTCCAACATTCGATCATATACTGCTCTTGTTGATACTATCGTACCAATACTCTCTTCAAGGTCAACATAGAATGACCAAAGTTTAATCGATTTAAAAACACGTGATTGTACTGATAAACTCTATATATATACACACACACACATATACAAATACATAAATATACATAAATAAAAATAATAAACAATAATAATAACATTATGATCATCGATACTAATGCAATATTATTTATAATATTTACCTCATCACGAAAGTCTACATTTGGATTACGGGGAGGAATTGTAGCATGGCCCATAACCTCAATTGCTTTATCATAATTCTCATTCCGTAATTCCATTTCAGCATACTCACACCATAACGTTGCTAAATCATTTACATTTTTAAAGTCAACATGAGTCCCTTTTTCAAATATTATTCTAGCACTTTCTATATCACCATTTTCTTCATAAAATTTAGCAAAGTTAACCCACAACTCATGCAATTTTCCTGTGGCTTTTTTAGGATTAATTGTTAAAATTGCCTTGTTATATGTTTCAACAATCTATTGTAAGTTTGCATTACAAAATTTAATTAATTAATTAATTTTTTTTTTTTTTTTTTGGAATTTATGATCAAATTTAATTACTTTGATTTTTTTTGACACACCTGTTCTTTATTGTCTTTCCACAATGAAACCCTTTTTTCCCATTCATGAACATTATTAGGATTTTGTCGTAAAAGTACATCATTTACCAAAAATGGTCTACGATCCATCAATTGCTCAAATCTCAAAAGTCTAAGATCCAATTCTAAATCTTCTTCAGGATCATCATCATTATTTTCTGCGCGAGTTGCTGCTTCTTGCATTTTTGTTTCCATTATTGTCTCTTCAAACTGTGCATAAGTATCAAATATCTGCGTGAAATCTCTTACTGTCATCACATTCTTTATACCTTCTTCAAAAACATCTCGTGCCTGACAATAATATAATGGAAAAATAATATGATATTAAATAAACTTGTTCTCATACACATAAAAAAAATATAAATAATATAAAAGGAATGTCCACCATGCTACAAAAATCCCACCAAAAAAATTCGTTGTAACACAATATAAACAGTGTGATTCAAAAAAAATGGTGGTTGCTTATTTTGAACCTGTTAAAAAAATTTACCGTTTACTTATATGATAAATATGATTGGATATGATTGTTTACATGATAATCAATATTCGTGTATGTTATTACATTGTCTTTTCTTTACCTTTTAACTTTTAAGCTTTGTAAAAAATGGTTAATGCAAATTAGAAGCACAACGTAAAACTATTTTTCATTTTTGGATGAATGGTATCCATTCACCAAAAGAAATATATGAAAAACAAACATCCCTCAAGAACAACTTAAAAAAAACTAAAAGAAACTGGTTCTATTGAACATAAAGGTGGGAATGGTCATCCATCAAAGGTTACACAAAATCTGTCACATTCCATCAGGCAAGTTGTTTGTCATAATACTGCTATTTCGACACACAAACTTGCAATTAAACTCCAAGTAACACATAATGTGTCTATTTCACAACCTACTGTTTGGCAACACATAAAAAAAAAGGTTACAGAAGTTCTGTGCCCATTGGAACTCCAATGCTAACCACTCATCACTTTGAAGCCTGAATAGCATGGGCACAAGCTCATTTGAATGATGATTGGAGCCATACAATCTTTACAGATGAGACAGCATTTGATATTTTTTGTAACAAAATTCGTAGATGGCACAAAGATGGACAAAGACCAGTTCGCAGATTGCTGAAATCATGGCAAAAAGTAATGGATTTCATTAAAAGGTAAAATGCCATTATTTTGTTTTACTGATATTATGGATGGGCTTTATTACATCAACATATTGCAGACTCAGCTTTTGCCTGCTGTGTGAAGGTTGCATGGTAGAAGCTGGTGTTTGCAACAGGACAATGATCCAAAGCACGTGTTGCAAAGATTTCATTGCTGAAAATAAGATTAATACGATTAACTGGCCATCCAACAGTCCTGACCTCAATCCAATAGAGAATATGTGGTACATTATGAAGAATAATGTTGAAAAAAGGATGCCTAGAAATGTTGATGAATTGAAGTGATTTATGGTAGAAGAATGGGAGAAAATTCCCCAGGAGATGGTTAAAAATATTATTATGTCTATGAAAAGAAGATATGAATTAGTTTTAAAAAAAAATGGTGACAGAATTTCTTATTAATTCCTTATTATTTAATAAAATAGAATATCAGCTTTCAAATGAATATATTTTTATTTAATTATGTTATGTAATCATAATATTTTTGTGACCACCATTTTTTTTGAATCACACTGTATATATATATAAAATTTGTTGAAACAAAAATTTTTAATTAATAAAAAAAGGGGGACCAGACCAAACTTCGTTGAAACAAAAATTCATTGAAACAAGATTTGTTGAAATGAGGCTTGACTGTATATATATTGTCAATATTCCATCATGATACCACCCTCCAGAACAATCTTTTTGTGGTGCTGTCAACTCTCTTTGCATTTTTCTTTGTTCATTATCAATTTCTCCACTATTAAAATAAACTATATATAACAATATTCATATTAAGGTATGAAGTGGTAAACCTTATAAAACAAAAATTCAATCAAGTATTCAACTTAAGTTTGACCAGATCTAAAAACAATTCCTCCATCAATAAATTAACAAACCAGCTTCTGTATTGATATTCACTGGCATTTGTATCATTCAATACATTTTTTGGCATTTGAAAGCATGTTATGCTATAAACCAAAAGATTAATAAATCTATCATGACAAACAAGGGTAAAAGAAGTCAAAAGTAAAGCAAATATAAACAAGTGAAACTTACAATTTTTGGTACATATTATCAGTCCATTTCTCTAACCAATTGGTTTTAAACTTGTATCCCATTTGGATATTTATTGCAAGTGTGCAATCCCAGTTTCCTATTTAATAGGTTAATTTACATTCAACACACAGCCTACTTGCTGACTTGTAGTCAAAATTTCTTTTATCTTATGGCCTACTCACCTGGATAAAAGATCCCTAGGTTATTTAACTAACTATATCCCAAAGGCATC